TCAAAAGTTACAAAGTTACAAAGTTACAAATGAATAGACGCATTTAAAAAATTCAATTCCTAGTGAGTGTTATTGTGCCACTCAGACCGACCCAGTATATTTTGCGGCTGTTTCATCAACTTGTGATAATTAAAATTCCGATGTGCAGGACGTCAGTACCACACAATGTCACCGGTGGTTGGTCTCACGTCAACATCAAGTGGTGCAGCATCAATCTGTTTCCGTAATCAGAGGTTCATCATTGGCCCTTAGATTCACTGTCGATTAACTGATTTCTCATCAGGATTAAACTTCCCATGTTACACTAGTGCACATATTACTCAAATAAGTTGAACACATTTGTTTTGACGTATGAACTTACAAAAGAATGACTTTCAATTACTGGGACAAAATTGCTCTTCTTCACGTTCTGCTTCGGATTTGGGTCAAACTACATTGATCGGTTTATAAGGTAGTTATACTACGATCACAGCACCTTGCGACACAACCAGAATTATTGCACGGACAACTTTACCGGTACACTCCCGAACCATTCCAAGGAATAGTTATTTATGAAATATCGTATTCTCTAATTGGTTATCTCCCAAATATCTTTTTGACGCTGTTTTGAAAAATGTTCCCTTCGGAGTCACCTTTGGGGAAATTTTCGAATTGGCAAAATTGAGTAACTCATTTATTGGACCAGTGTGTGAAGCAGAATCTGATTTTCTGCTGATTGTTAAAATTTTGCTTGAGATACAATCATAATTTCATGTCACATTACTTTAGATGGTCTTGGGAGTGTAATGCACATCAAGACCATTAATAGTGCCCGATGCCTCTAAATAATCTAATGGGTTAATCCAAACATGATACGCTACATAAACTGATTGATCAATTCGCACAAGGTGATGTTCGTCCACCGTGTAGCTCAAGGGTAACGGTTTGAAGTCTTAGCCCCAACGTTCGCGGTTAGAGTTCGGACACAGGCACAAACATTATGCACTACCAAAGAGTCCCGAATAGAAAGCAACAGTTGTCTAGTGTTCTTGGTGGGTCATCATTGCGTGAATAGCAGTATCTTGATAACTCGAATTAAAATCATCCAAATTGCTTCATTAAAAGTATGTTAATAACCTCCGAAAGTGTTAGTATGCTAGGGGGATAGATATCGTAGATTTGCATTATCCATCCTTCCTTTGAGCTTTAAGAGTGTCTCAATTAGTCTATTGTGACGAAACCCTTATCATTGCTTCCTTGTGTTCAAAACGTTTCTCCAACAAATTAAGAGTAAGAAAGTCCAAACCACAGGCTATCACCGGGTTGGTCACCCACAAGTAATTCAGCTAAAGGAGTTGGTAAAATGCCCAAATTTCAAACCATTCAAGGAAAGGCGTGCGAAAAACATCCATACCTTCGAGGCTGTGGTAGTGCTCAACGGCTTGGCTGGTCATTGAGGTATACAGGACACCCTGGATTTTTAACCCGGTCCACAGGATACTTCATTCATTGGACTTGATAAAGAGCCCATGTGGATTGCGACTAATAGACTCCGTTCTTCTGTCCTGCATGTTTGCATTTGATCAAAGACTCGGGTTTCCGTTCCCGATTTCAGACCCTTTATTTGACCTCTTCAACCGGATGGTTACCTACGCTCACCACCTACGTATTAATTAATCACTGACACAAGTGCTTGACCTGAATGAATAAGGGTGGTTGGGGCATGTGTTTCGCTTATCAATGAGTATATTTTTTCTGTTGTGTGATGTTCAACATGATGGCGTGAGCTTGAAACATCTCGAGTCTCCAGACCATAAATTGGCTTCAGGAAAAGAAATCTTTGACCAGTGAACCTCGTCATGACCCTCATTTGAGGGACGCCTTTTAGAGGGCTTCAAGTTAACTCACCTAGACGATCATAGACTATGATTTGATTAAGCGTGGTACGCATCTACTCACCTTTCGTATACGTTTAGCTTTCATACACTCAACATGCTTATCGTTGTAGCCTTCACTCATCTTTCAATGCTGACGCTTTTCTATGCATTAGAAATGCAGAGGTACTATGGCTGTGCGGAACGAGAACTAATAGCTAATAGAAGCCATACCAAGGACCATCACAGCGTCTGTTTATTCATAACGAATCAGTGTTTCCTGTTGTTATTTTTGTTGTGAAACAGGAAGATCAAGGGAGGGGGTACTGAGGAAACGTTGTGCATAGATAGCATGGGATCGCAACTTGAAGTCGTGCAATCGCAATAATTCTAACGATCCAGTAACTAAACAGCAGGTTGCATTACCCAAAATACAAAACAAATATTTGGTATATTTTACACTTNTGTCAGAATGATAGAGTAAAATGCTAACAGAGCGTATTTTGGGGAATAGCTGTAATAGCAGTTACGTTATAAGGGTCGTAGTCATCATCCATCCTAACGGAGTTTGGTCAAAATCAACAAAAAACGAAAGAAGGAAATGTAATTGCACAGCTTTGGTTTGGTCAAACTGGATGTTCACGATCTGGTCATCCGCTAGCAATCGGCGCGCACATTATCCGGGTCATCAAAACCCATCTTCGCAAGCATTCACATTGCGTCCAGACTGTGCATCCCCGGCCATGGTTGGTCGTCCGTTCATGTGAATGTGTCCAATGCAGCCTCGAAATCCAACCGACTTACGATCCATCGGAGACAGTTGTGTAACCAGAGGTTGCCTGTCATCCGATTCCGAAAACCCATCCACAAAAATAGGCAATTGTATGTTTAATCCACCTAAATTTAGGAAGAAACTTGGAAAAATTATTACCTCTGAGAAAAAAAGAATTGAGATACAATTAGATTGAAGACAAAAACCTCATTACATATTCCGCGAGCTGTTTCATCTTCCTTACAATGAAGCGTGAATAATTTCGCATCATCATACAGTCTCGACAAGATTTTACACATTCAAACGTGCATCAAAGTTTAGCAGGTGTGAACTGGGACGCCAATGGTGTCCTTTGAATGAACCAAACTATATTCAACATTTATTTGTTTATATCACTGGAAGTAACCTCTTCGTCTGAGATGCTTTGTGCTCCATCTATAGAAAGCTTTATATCCTGGAATCGATTTTAACTCATTCACGGTGGCCGGTTATGCTTTGGTATCGCGTGTACTCTACCAGTTGAGCTGCGAGACCCCTTCGATCGCCCACTCTCCTTACAGATGCGTATGAGCTCCATCAAACAGTGTGTAAAATTGTTCGACCTCTGCAGGTTTAACCAAGAATGAACCTAAATCTATATAAATAAATAAATCTTTTCACTTTCTTTCTTTTACTTCTTGCGTATATAACCTTCAGCAAGCTGATCGCGGCCATACAAAGGCTGCCTGATTAAATACGGATATGGGAAACACTGACTGTTTATTTGAGCCAATGTGTCTTATCTCAGAATATCCCTACAGAATCATTCGATCGCGTTTTACTTCTGGAAAGAGCAACTGTCTCAGTTTCAAAGGGAAAATTCGTCGTGTTTATGGTCAATGTTTGCGTTCTGCACACGAGGTCCCGGTTTGATCCTCATTTGGGTCGATGGATTCCCACTGCTGACAAGACTGAATCAGATCGAAACAGATGTTCAGTGCTTCCTAGCTTTTTTGGTTCACGATTCATTTGCTATATATATACGACAAATTCACCTTTGAAATGTCTTTATCATGAATAGTTTTCATTTTGCATGTTGCATGTCTTTCTTGCGCTTTGAATGGGGGTAATTTTTTCATTCGAGAAGAGAAGCCTGCAGACCCAAACGGAGTGTCTAGTGATTGCCAAGGTGAACATTTGTACTTAACAGCAAGGATATTCAACCGTTTTGCTGATGGGAATATTTTCAAACAAAGAGCTGATGACCCACGAGCGTATCAACGAAACGATCGAGTACCAACGCAGTTAAGTGTAAAATAATAATGTAGAGCTCGGCCTCCCTTGGGAGGACCTAAAACAACTGCTTTATGCCTGCACTATTCAAGTTTAATTATGAAACTTTGGTGATCCAGGCCTAGACGATGGCGCCTACCCTGGAGCGGCGCGTTACAGTTTCAGGACATTGGCGATCGATCAAATTTGAATGCTGACGTCAATAGCACGTGCATA